AGAGAAGGAAACCTTGGAACATCAGGAAGGAAGAAAGAACACAGTAAGCAAAAATACGGGTAACTTCAATAGACTTTCCTTCTCCTGAGTTTTCTAAACTATGATTGCTGAAGCAAAAATTATAATATTGTCTGATGCGGTTATAACTGTATGTAGAGGAAACATTCAACTATTATATTATTAATGGGGGAGAGTAAAGGGACATAGGGAAATAAAGTTTCTATATTTCACTTGAGCTAATAAAATGATAATACCAGTAGACAGTGATAAATTTTGTCTATTTGTCTACACACACACACACACACACACACACAACATTTAGAGTAACCACAAAGCTATGCAAAGAGATCTTTTCAAAAACAGTGTAGACAAAGTGGAATTCTTAAAAATGTTCACAGGAAGGCAGAAAAAGAAAACAGAAATAAAAAACAGGACAAACAGCAAAAAACCAAAATGGCAGACTTAAGTGCTAACATATCAATAATAACATCAAATATAAATTGTTTAAATATACCAATTAAAAGATAGAGATTGGTGAGTGAATTTTACAAAAAAGATCCAACTATATCCTATCTGGAAGAAATTCACCTCAAATAAAAAGATACAGGCAATGATATAGGCAGGTTGAAATTTGAAAAAAGATGAAACATATATAATGCAAATAATAAAACGAAAGCAAGAGTGGCTATAAAAATATCAGATAAAATAGACTTCAGTAGAAAAAAATGATGAGTGACAGAGAGGAACATTATATAATCATAAAAAGTCTATCCACTAAGAAGACATAGTAATCCTAAATGTGTATATAGCAAGCAACAGAGTTGCAAATTTGTGAAACAAAAACTGACAGAACTGAGAGGGGAAATAAATCAATGGCCTGGTGCTGTGGCTCATGCCTGTAATCCCAGCACTTTGGGAGGCTGAGGCGGGCGGCTGAGGCAGGTGGATCACAAGGTCAAGAGATCGAGACCATCCTGGCCAACATGGTGAAACCCCATCTCTACTAAAAACACAAAAATTAGCTGGGCGTGGTGGTGCACGCCTGTAGTCCCAGCTACCTGGGAGGCTGAGGTAGGAGCATTGCTTGAACCCAGGAGGCGGAGGTTGCAGTGAGTAGATATTGTGCCATTGCACTCCAGCCTGGCGACAGAGTGAGACGCTGTGTGAAAAAAAAAAAAAAGAAATCTGTAGTGATAGTTAGAGACTCCTCTATTAACAATTGATAGAATAAGGCCAGGTGCAGTGGCTCATGCCTGTAATCCCACCCCTTTGGGAGGCCAGGGCAGGAGAATTGCTTGAGCCCAAGAGTTCAGGACCAGCCTGAGCAACACAGTTAGACTCCATCTCTACCAAAACTAAAAAAAATTTAGCTAGGCAGGATGACACACACCTATAGTTCCAGCTTCTCGGGAGGCTGAGGTGGGAAGATTGCTTGAGCCCAGAAGGTTAAGGCTGCAGTGAGCTGTGATCATGTCATTGCACTCTAGCCTGGGTGACAGAGCAAGACCCTGTCTCTTAAAAAACCAAAGCCAAAACAAAGGCCAGGCGCAGTGGTTCACGCCTATAATCCCAGCACTTTGGGAGGCATAGGCAGGAGGATTCCTTGAGGCCAGGAGTTCAAGACTAGCCTGAGCAACATGGCCAGACCCCATGTCTATGAAAAAATTTAAAAAAAATTATCAAAGCATGGTGGTGCACACCTGTAGTCCTAGCTACTCTAGAAGCTGAGGCAGGAGGATCAATTGAGCTCAGAAGGTCAAGGTTGCAGTGAGCTATCATCACACCACTGTACTTCAGCCTGGGTGATAAAGTAAGACCCTGTCTCTAAAAACAAACAGCAACAACAGCAGCAACAGCAACAACATCCTACAGCTAGCATCATAGTTAAGGGTGAGAGACTGGATACTTTGGCTGTAAAGTTGGGAAGAAGGCAAAAATGTCCCCTTTTTCCATTCCTATCCAATATCTTACTGGAAGTCCTATATAATGCATTAGGACAGGAAAAGGAAATAGGAAGTATATAGACTGGGACAGAAGAAATAAAACTATTTGTTCACAGATGAAATGACTGATTCTGTAGAAAATTCCTTAAAAAATTAATAGAACAACAGGACAAATCAGCAGGGCATAGAAGAACTCAATAACACCATCAGCTAAAAGGGCCGAATTGATGCTCCACCCAACAACAGAGCCTTTCAAGTGTTCGTGGAATATATGCTAAGAGAGACCATATTCTGGAGTATTTAAACAAAATCTTAACTCATTTAAGAGAATTGAATCATAGCTTGTTCTCTGACTATAATAGACTCAAACTAGAAATCAATAACACAATAACAGAAAAATCTCCAAACACTTGAAAATTAAGCCATATACTTCCAGATAATCCATTAGAGAGGAAGTCACAACAGAAATTTAAAAAATACATTGAACCAAATAAAAATGAAATACAACATACCAAAAAAGAGCAGTGCCCAGAGGGAAAGTTCCAGCACTAAAATGCATCCATTAGAAAAGTGGGAAGATCTTAATCTAAGCTCCATCTCAAGAACCTAGAAGAGTAAAATAAAACCAAAACCAGCAGAAAGAAGAAAATAAAGAGCAGAAATTGATGAAGCTGAAACAGAATAGAGGCCGGGTGTGGTGGCTTATGTCTGTAATCCCAGCAGTTTGGGAGGCTGAGGTGGGTGGGTCACCTGAGGTCAGGAGTTCAAGGTGGGCCTGGGCAACATGGTGAAACCCCATCTCTACTAAAAATGCAAAAATCAGTTGGGCACAGTGGTGTGGGCTTGTAATCCCAGCTACTCGGGAGGCTGAGGCAGGAGAATCATTTGAACCCAGGAGGCGGAGGTTGCAGTGAACTGAGATCACGTCACTGCACTCCAGCCTGAGCGACAGAATGAGGCTTCATCTCAAAGGAAAAAAAAAAAAAGAAAAGAAAATTAAACAGAGAACTAGTTATTTTAAGAGATCGATAAAGTGGATAAACCTCCAGCAAGATTAACAAAGAGAAACAGAGAAAATGAATAAATTTCTTCTATCAGGAATGAAATACAGGGTGGCACTACAGAGCCTGAAAACAACAAACGAATATAAGGAAATACTATAAACAACTCTATTCAAATAAATTTGACTTCTTAGACTAAATGAACCAATTCCTTTAAAAAACACAGCTACCATAGCTCACCCAATATTAAATAGATACTTTCTAGCCTGGGCAACATAGCTAGACCCCATCTCTACCAAAAAAACCAAAAATTAGCTAGGTGTGGTGGCATGTGCCTATAGTCCCAGCTACTGGGTAGGCTGAGGCGGAAGAATCACCTGCTGACAGAGCGAGACCCCATCTCTTAAAGAAAAAGATACTTTGAGTAGCACTATGACTATTAGGAAATTGAATTTGCAATAAAAATTCCCCAAAAGAGAGCTCCAAAGAAGGTTTCACTGGAGAAGCTTTCAGCAGAGAATTCTACCAACTAAAGAACAAACACCAATCTGCATAAGCTCTTCCAGATAATAGACCAGAAGGGAACACTTTCCAGTTCTTTATGAAGCTAGTACTGGGGGAGGAAAAGCTTTCTCTTTATTATATTTTGTTCAGTTTATGGGGGCCTCCAAAAAAACTATTTATTTGAGGCAGAGTCTCACTGTGTCACCGAGGCTTGAGTGCAGTGGCAGAATCATGGCTCACTGCAGCTGCGGCTTCCTGAGCTCAAGTGATCCTCCCACCTCAGCCTCTGAAGTAGCTGGGACCACAGGCATGCGCTACCATGTTCAGCCAATTTTCAAAAAATTTTTGTAGAGATAGCCGTCTCACTATGTTGCCCAGGCTGGTCTCGAACTCTTGGGCTCAAGCGATCCTCCTCCTTAGCCTCTCAAAGTGGTGGGATTACAGGTGTGAGCCACCATGCCCAGCCAGGGCCTGCAAATTAAACTGACAAAAGACAGATTAACAGAACAGAAAATCAGCATGGGCATATAAGAACTCAACAACACCATCAACTAATAGGGTCTAATTACACTTTTTATAGAACACTCTCAAAAAAGGATTATTTGCATGGATGCTGGAGCTAGCAAAATAAGTAGCTAGCCTACTAAATGGTTAAAATTAGAGGTTTATATCTGGGTGCAGTGGTTGATACCTGTAATCCCAGCATTTTGAAAGGCTGAGGTGGGAGGATTGCTTGAGCCCAGGAGTTCAAGACCAGGCTGGGCAACAGAGTGAGACCGTCTCTACCAAAAAACAAAACAAAACAAACAATGACAAACAAAAAATCCACACAAAAAACAAAGAAAGAAAAAAACCAGTTAGTGGCTTATGTGCCTAACTCAGTAGGTAAAAGGGAGAGGTGACGAAAGTTTGTATGAGAATAAATAGGATTCTTTAAGACAGACAAATGGGTTTTGGGAGAACAAACAGGAGCTAAGAAAGGGTTTTTTTTTTTTTAGACGGAGTCTCTGTTGCCCAGGCTATAGTGCAGTGGTGTGATCTTGGCTAACTGCAACCTCTGCCTCCCGGGTTCAAGCGATTCTCCTGCCTCAGCCTCCCGAGTTGCTGGGATTACAGGCGCACACCACCACGCCAGGCTAATTTTTGTATTTTTAGTAGAGACAGGGTTTCACCATATTGATCAGGCTGGTCTCGAACTCCTGACCTCGTGATCTGCCAGCCTCGGCCTCCCAAAGTGCTGGGATTACACGTGTGAGCCACCGCCCCCGGCGGATAATTTTTTAAAAACGTAGGTGCTAGTGGTCTTACTGTCTTCTTCATGGACATGAAATTCTTCTCATATAATGAGAATTAAATATGATCCTTCATATAAAGAGTTTAGAATAACGTCAGGCACAAAGCAAGCAGTAAGTTATCATTTAGATAAGAATCATTCCAATTCATCTGGAGAGTGCAACACACATACATTGTATTTGGGTATGGAATAACTGTTCCAAGAACACACACACACAGTATTTGTGTATGAAATAACTCTTCAAGAACAAAGGGGAAACAGTTACAGGGCATGGAAGGGGAATTAGGGCAAGGTGTGAGTGGAAAGAGAAACAACCCACCGCCCACGCTTAAAAAATCCGTTTAATTTAAAAATAGGTAATACAGCCATACAGAGAGGACATTAAAATAAAAGATTTACACAGAAAATTTTCGTTCCCAATCCATTCCCTACTCACAGTCCTACATACGTTACTTTTATTTTACTTTTTTTGGAAATGTAAATGCACTGGCCCCCTACTTTCTCACGAAGGCTGCACTCTCTCTACATTCTTCTTCACCTGTGTTTTTGTGCATACTCTTTCGTTGTGAAATATTTTCCCCCAACTGCTGTAGTGTATGAAATACATATACGTAACCTAAACAACCCCGCTTCCCCACACCCCCTACAAGCCCGTCCCCGCCCTCCCTCAGGCCCACGTGCTCCGAGGGCCCCCTTCGCAGGTTGTTTCTGGCGATGCCTGTCTGAAGGCCTCAGACCGAGGCCCCGCCCACTCTCTCCCTCCTCTGCCCTTTGGACGCGCGCCTCGTGGACGGCGCCTCAGGCAGCGCGGCGGACAGCCCGTCCTCCAGCGCGCCGCGGGCCTCGGAGGACCCCAGCGACGGTCGTGGCGTAAGACCGGTGGGACGCGGCGATAGCGGCGGCCGTTGCGATTGATTGCGCTGGTCGCCTCCGGCGTCCACTTCCCTGGCCGCCCTTGCTACACTGGCTGATTGTTGTGCAGCGGGCGCCATGTCTGTGAGCGAGATCTTCGTGGAGCTGCAGGGCTTTTTGGCTGCCGAGCAGGACATCCGAGAGGCGAGCCCCCTCCCTTCCCCATTCCCTTTGCCTTTCCATGCCTAGGTGGGCCACTGCGCCCGACCCTCCTCTGTCGCTCAGTCTCGGGCGGTGGGGACGCCTCCGAGGGTGGGTTGCTTCCCCTCTAGCTTTAGGTTAGGACACTCCCCGCCCCCGCCCCAAATTTTGCCGCTCTGTCCTGATTCCCTGTGTTCGGGTCTCAGCTTCTAAGCGTTACCTGCTTCATTTGTGTCAATTTTCCTTCTTTTCAGCACTTGTTTATATCGAAGGCTCGATTAGCACCTGGTCTTCAGCGAATGAGCGTTTCGTGTATTTTTGTTGGTGTCTTAAAAGCACATGTGATCTCCTGCTTAAAACTCTCCTATGGTTTCCTATCCCACACGGGATAAAAAATCAGACCCTCCTGTGGCTCACACGGTCTCTCGTCAATCTCATTTATGCTCTCTGTCTTTGTGTATGATGTTCACTTTACCTCTTCTAGTGCGCCGGATAGCTTCCTGCCTGTTCGCTTTTCCTGGAATTTGCTTATTTCCCGTTCTTTTCGTGATTGTCTCGTATTTATGTCATTGACGTCACAGTCTAAACGATCTATTTCCTGTTATGTTTTCTAGTAGCACCTTAAGTTTTTTAAATGTGTGTAATGTTGATTATTTTAAAAAAATCTTCTCCCCCATTGTATGTTAAACCATCAGAGGGAAAGGATTGTGTGCTCGGTTCCCCAGTATTTACACAGTGCCTCACACATAAGTATGCTCAGTGAATATTTTAAAAATGAATTAGAGGCCGAGAGCGGCGCCTCATGCCTGTAATTCCAGCATTTTGGGAGGCCGAGGCGGGTGGATCACTTGAGGTAAGGAGTTTGAGACCAGCCTGGCCAACATGGCGAAACCCTGTCTCTGCTAAAAATACAAAAGAAAATTAACTGGGCATGGTCGCGAACGCCTGTAATCCCAGCTACTTGGGAGGCTGAAGCAGGAGAATTGGTTGAACTCAGGAGGCGGAGGTTGCGGTGAGCTGAGATCGCGCCGTTGCACTCCAGCCTGGGTGACAGAATGAGACTCCGTCTCAAAAAAAAAAAAAGAAAAAAAAGAAGTGTAGATACCCAACTCTTGTATTGCATTTAACTCTTCATTCTGCAAGTTACGTTCACACACATCATCCATTATAATGTCCCAATTGAATCCTTGGGGTGAATGGGTGGCTATTATCCTTTAAAGAGTACCTGAGGAATCTAAGGCTTTTTAGTGACTTTTTGAAGTCTTACAGAGCAAATAAGTGGAAAAAAGTCAGGATTCAAACTTGGTTATGATCACATAAACTAATGTGTTTGGTGTGAGTGTATGACAATAATTCTGTTGAGTATCTGATTTTTATTTTTAATTCTCTCTAGGAAATCCGAAAAGTTGTACAGAGTTTAGAACAAACAGCTCGAGAGATTTTAACTCTACTGCAAGGGGTCCATCAGGGTGCTGGGTTTCAGGACAGTAAGTTCTTTGTTTTATACTCACTTATGAGTCTCTTATTTAGAAGAGAGTTTATATCCAGAAGACATTTTATAATGAAAAATGGCTATCATGCTTTATGGTGAGTAAAAATTGAAGAAGGAGGTGATTTGATAATTTTGGTTGATTTTTCTTGCACTACCAGATAGTATGGTTTAAATAGAGATGTTTTCTATTGTGATGGTATTCTACTGATGATAATTACAATTGCTTAACCCATTTCCTGTTTAGAAAAAAAAGTGCAGCTTTCTGCTAGCACAGTATTCTCAGGATAAGTGGGAAAAGGGTTTATTAATATTTATTTACTTTTTCTCCCGAGACGGAGTTTCGCTCTTGTTGCCCAGGCTGGAGTGCAGTGGCGCCATCTCAGCTCACTGCAGTCTCCACCTCCCAGGTTCAAGTGATTCTCCTGCTTCAGCCTCCTGAGTAGCTGGTATTACAGGCGCCCGCCATCACGCTCAGCTACTTTTTTTTTTTTTTTTGTATTTGTGGTAGGGACGGGGTTTCACTCTATTGACCAGGCTGGTCTTGCACTCCTGACCTCAGATGATCCTCCTGCCTTGGCCTCCCAAGGTGCTGGGATTACAGGTGTGAGCCACCGCGCCTGGCCCAAGCGTTTATAACTCTTGTGTTATCTAGTGACTTTTATTTGGCCCTTTTGTGTGTGTGTGTATATGTGTGTGTATGCACCAGTGTGTAGTTGAATCCAGTCTTTCAGTGATTGAATACCTTTTAATATGAGATGAACAGTATAAAATGTTCTCAAATTAATGTGTTTATAGTCAGCCTCTTGAATGAAAGTAAAATATGTCAAGTTTAGACATGGAACCTTCATTGTAAGGTATAGCCAGCACAGCTAAAAGAGCTGAAGTATGTTTTCAGATATAAGAATGATATAATAATGTATTTACACGTGGTAGAGGCAAGTCATTTTTCTTAATGATACGGAGTTGGTCATCCTGATTGTGAATACTTGGTAAAGGCTTTTTTCTGCCAAATATGGGAGGAAGAAGCAATCCAATTTTACGCATCCTCTGAGGAGTGAACAGGAATAGCAGCTGGTGTGCAGCTCCTTAAGGATGACGTTATTTATGACAACCTAACCAATTACCAATGTGTCTCCTAATATATTACCTTTTGGCAAGTTGTTTATTTTTCAGTATAGCTAATTAGTAGGGAAACTGGGGATGATACTTTTTGAGAACCAGGTTGAAAAGCAGAGATGTGTACATTAGTTGTGAGGTTAAAAAAAAAAGTTTATTAATTTCCAGATAGATTACTTAGATTATTAAGCAAGAACTGTATTTGAAATTTGGTAAGTTTTTCATTATTACATTTGGTTATCTTTTGTGATTAGTTCCAAAGAGGTGTTTGAAAGCTCGAGAACATTTTGGTACAGTAAAAACACATCTAACATCTTTGAAGACCAAATTTCCTGCTGAACAGTATTACAGGTTTGTAAGAAAAACAGCATTATGTTATGATGTTAAGTAAAAAAAAAGAGAAAAATTATACATACTAAATGATTGCTTGCAACTAGGCAAGCATCCTTCTGTGTAGAAGTAACAAAAAGAGAAAGAACTAAACTGATAATGGTCATGACAAAAATTGGTGATTTTATTTTTTTCTTCTTTTGACTTTCTGAATCTTAAGGAACATGTATTACTTTTGCAGTGAAAAAGCAATTAAAAAGAAAATGTGGTATGAGGGTCAAAAGTGAGAATATCTTTTTGCTGTATTCAAGTTTCTTGTGAAATTGGGTGAACTATAGTTAGTGAAATAATGAGATTAGGTGGCAGTATATATATGGAGTTGAGTTTTATTTTGAAGCTTGAGTTTCACTGCCAAGTAACATAATTAGCTAATATTTTATGCCATGTCTTCTTGTTAAAGTCAACACTGTTGATTTTAAGATACACCATTATTTTATGTTCCAGTAGGGAAGGAAAATTTTGCCAGTCATAAATGTGAAACATGGGCCAGGCGTGGTGGCTCACGCCTGTAATCCCATCACTTTGGGAGGCCAAGGCGGGCAGATCACCTGAGGTCAGGAGTTTGAGACAGCCTGGCCAGCATGGTAAAACCCTGTCTCTACTAAAAATACAAAAATTAGCCCGGTATGGTGGCTCATGCCTGTAACTCCAGCTACTTTGGAGGCTGAGGCAGGAGAATCGCTTGAACCTGGGAGGTGGAGATTGCAGTGAGCCGAGATCACGCCATTGCACTCCAGTCTGGATGACAGAGTGAGACTCCATCTCAAAAAAAAAAAAAATTGTGAAACATGGATTGTGAAGTGTCTCCTGGTTTCATAGGTGTTAAACTGGGAAGAACTGCATCTGAATCAAGAATTTCTACTCATTTTAATTTTCTTACTGAAAAAGATGTTCTTGTAAGGCATATATATCAACAGTAAACAGGATGAATATTTTCAGGGGTGGATAGTATAACCTCATGAGAATATTCTTTTAAGGCGGAGATTGATAAACCACTAGTGGCTGTTGCCTCTGGGAGCTAAGAATTGCTTTTGTTTTTTCAAGAGTTGTTAAAAAAAAAGGAAAATGCCCAGATAAGAATACATAACAGTGAAAGTGGCCCACAGAGCCTAAAATATTTACTACTTGGCCCTTTACAGAAAAAATCTGCTGATCCTTGCTGTAAGGCAGGGGTTCCCAACCCCCAGGCCGCGGACTGGTACTGGTCTGTGGCCTGTTGGGAACCGGGATGCATAGAAGGAGGTGAGCGGTGGGTGAGCGAGTGAAGCTTCATCTGTATTTACAGCTGCTCCGCATCATTTGCAATACTGCCTGAGCTCCACCTCCTGTCAGACCGGTGGCAGCATTCGATTCTCACAGTAGTGCGAACCCTATTGTGGACTGTGCACACGGGAGATCTAGGTTGCGTGTTCCTTATGAGACTCTAACGCCTGATGATCTGAAGTGCAACAGTTTCATCCTGAAACCATCTGCCCCGCTTCTGTGGAAAAATTGTCTTACACGAAACTGGTCCCTGGTGCTGAAAAGGTCAGGGACCGCTGTTGTCATAGCTGAAGCACAGAGAGAGAGGTAGGACAGTAGAACGGGTGGGGTATTTAGAGACCATCTTCTCTGGAGGTCACACACACAGGCTGCCCTCTGGGTGGATTTGGTCTTCAGAAGGGTTTGTGTGACCTGCATCGTGTCGAGACCTGTTTTTGAATGTATTGCCACATTTGAAAATCAGGAGGCATTGCGTAAATATCCACAGGTTGTAAAATTTCCTTTTCTTTTTTCAGGCTTCTAGCTCAGTATTCTGTTTTAAGTCCATTTGTTTAGTGATTGCAAACGGTAATTTTGTGAATCAGAATTTTCTTGGTGTCCTGCACTCAAATGAAAATGTAGGAACACGTTGAGGATGATATGTAACTGCAGTTGTCTTCAATCATCAGTTGCAAAGTTTTATTTTTTTCAGAGCAGTATCATTGTTCTTACTGATGAAATTTAGAAAGCATAATTGCTCTTGTCATCTGTAACCTTCAGTTGTTGTTGTTTTTTTTTTTTTTTGAGATGGAGTCTCTGTCGCTTAGGTTGGAGTGTAGTGATATGATCTTGCTCACTGCAAACTCTGCCTCCCAGGTTCAAGCGATTCTCCTGCTTCAGCCTCCCGAGTAGCTGGGACTATGGGCACACGCCACCACGCACGGCTAATTTTTGTATTTTAGGAGAGACGGAGTTTTGCCATGTTGGCCAGGCTGGTCTTGAACTCCTGACCTCAGGTGATCGACCCGCCTCTGCTTCTCAAAGTGCTGGGATTACAGGCGTGAGCCATCGCACTGGGCGTAAATTTTCATACTCATCAGAATTAGACCATATTTCTCACTGATTAAACTTAAATAATTGTTATAAATTTCAACTTGTAAAATTTATGCTAAATGTCATATTTCTCTTTACATATTGGGGATTTGCATAAGATTTTATTTGAAAAATGATCCCATTTCTAAACCGTTTGAACATGACTATATTAAACCCGTCTTTCTGAAGGTCCCTAACCTTGGAGGCTAAATTTGCTTATTTTCCTGCAGATTTCATGAGCACTGGAGGTTTGTGTTGCAGCGCTTGGTCTTCTTGGCAGCATTTGTTGTGTATTTGGAAACAGAAACACTAGTGACTCGAGAAGCGGTTACAGAAATTCTTGGCAGTAAGTGTCTTTATTAGTGGGATCTGCAGAATCAGGCACGCTTGCTTAGTTTTTGGTGGAAAGGGTGGTTGTACTTTGTTTCTTAAAACAAATAAGAATTAGCCAGAAACCACTTGTACTTGTAGCTTGGTATCTGAGGATGATGGGTTCCAGAGCTCTCCCAATACCCAAATCTGAGGATGTTCAAGTCCCTTATATAGCTGGTGTAGTATTTGCATGTAACCTATACACATTCTCCCACGTACTTTAAATCATCTCTAGGTTTCTTAACATATCTAATACAGTGTAAGTGCTATGTAAATATATATATACATATATATATTTTGAGATAGAATCTCACTGTCGCCAAGGCTGGAGTGCAGTGGCATAATCTCAGCTCACTGCAACCTCCACTTCCCAGGTTCAAGCAGTTCTGCCTCAGCCTCCTGAGTAGCTGGGATTACAGGTGCCTGCCACTACGCCCAGCTAATTTTTTTTTTCCCCCAAAATGAAGTTTTGCTTTTGTTGCCCAGCTGTAGTGCAGTGGCACAATCTCGGCTCACCACAACCTCCACCTCCTGGGTTCAAGCAATTTTCCTACCTTAGCCTCCTGAGTAGCTGGAATTACAGGCATGTACCACCACACCTGGGTAATCTTGTATTTTTAGTAGAGATGGGGTTTCTCCGTGTTGGTCAGGCTGATCTTGAACTCCTGACCTCAGGTGATCCACCCGCCTCAGCCTCCCAAAATGCTGGGATTACAGGTGTGAGCCACCACGCCCAGCCAATTTTTTGTATTTTTTTAGTAGAGATGGGGTTTCACTGTGTTGGCCAGGCTGGTCTTGAACTCCTGACCTTGTGATTCGCCTGCCTTGGCATCCCAAAGTGTTGGGATTACAGGCATGAGCCCTCCGCACCTGGCCTTTTCCCAAATATTTTTGATCCACAGTTAGTGCAGAGGGCCGACTATATTTGGAAAAACAAAAGCTAAAAATAACAACGGCAAACTTATTTGTACTTGCTTTAGTTTTTAAAATTGAATTTTTAAAACTTTCAAGCCTACAGAAAAATGGAAAGAATAGTAAAATGAATACCTGTTTACACGCCACTTAGATTTACCACTTGTTAACATTTTGCTACATCTGCTTAATCTTCTCATTTTGTGTGTGTCTCTGTCAGCCATTTGATAGTTGCAAATATCGTAACTCCTTTCTTAAATGCTTTATCATGCACTTTCTAACAAGAAGTATGTTCTCTGACACAACTCGATACCATTTTTGATAGTATTACTTTTTGAGGGAAGACTGAATTGAATTTTGCTTAAGAACTCAAAAAATCCACAGTGAGGTTTAGTTGCCAAGGGTGTGAATATATTAAAAAGCCAGTTTTTAAAAGATTCATCCTTTCTTCACTTACTTTGGGAGAAATTATGTGTATATTTTTATATTCTGAGGCTTGACTGACTTGGATTCACAGCATGACTTTATTTTCATGTGTTTTTTAGTTGAGCCAGATCGGGAGAAAGGTTTTCATCTGGATGTAGAAGATTATCTCTCAGGAGTTCTAATTCTTGCCAGTGAACTGGTAAGCTCAGTAACTTGCTGGTTGCTTTTTTGATCTTTCTGCTTCACTGTCAGTTTTTAAAATGAGTACCAAAATTCAGAACGTCTTAATTCTTTTCTAAGCCATCTCTCAGTCACCAGGTAGTCACTGACTGGCACTGTATGTGTTACAGTTTCCTAGGCATCAGAGAAAAGCCAGATCAAATGATGAGTGCATACTTACTGAGTTAAGAATTTTCAACAGATGATAAGACCTCTTCCTTTTAGGGTAGTGGCAAAACATCTATTCCTGGTAACTGTTAATTCATGTAATTGTTTTGGAGACTCATTTGTCTATATAACCATATAAGTTATTCTTATTCTTTATTCCTTTAATCACTATCTAGGGAAATTGCCTTGTAAAAGTCTAAAGAAAAAAAAAACTGTCAGTAGCAAAATTGAGTAGTTGTGGTAGAGACTGTGCCAGTCTGCAGAGGTGAAAATATTTACTTCTGGCTCGTTAAGAAAAAGTTTGCTTGTCCTTGTTCCAGAGGAAAGCAGTCCAGGGCTGGTCTGATGATTCCTTGATCTTTGGCCCTAGGTTCTTCTAGCTTCAGCTTCTTTCTTACGTTCCAGAACTGTTGCTCTAGTCACATCTTCACTCTAGCCAGCAGTAGGAGGAAATAGGAAAAAGGATATGCCCTCTCGCTTTGAGGACATTTCTTTCAAGTTGTACACACAACTTCTATTAACATTCTGGTGCCTTGCCTGCAGGGGAGGCAGAAATGGAGTCTATTGGAGTGGGTATATGTGCATTGAAAACCTGAGGAAGATAGTGAGAATGGATAATGGGGTCCACTTACAGGCTGTACCACTTGTCTGGCTTTTTCGAGACACCTGACCAGTGAACATGAAGCATCTTGTTAGTATTAGTTGTTAAGTGGAAGGTGTCTTTAGGACCATACATGTTGGGGCCAGGTGCGGTGGCTTACACTTGTAATCCTGGCAGTTTTGGAGGCCCAGGTGGGAGGATCCCTTGAGGTCAGGAGTTCCACACCAGCTTAAGCAACAGAACAAGACCCCTTCTTGATTTATATTAAAAACAACAGCAGCAGCAACAACAACAAAACCTTTATGTGAGACCAAAAAAACCCGTATGTTGAGAGTGCACTAAAGGGGTGGTATAGGTAAACCTGGGAAAGTGGAGAGGATTTACAGAAAGGGGAATCTTTTTTATTATTTTAATATGTTTTTAAAAGCCAGTCAAATGGAGCAGTGAGGGGTTGTATACTGACACTGAGAAGGGGAGTCTTGAGTTGGGTCTTGAAATCAATCTTAGTTCTCCTTCAAGATAGGGTTACACTGACGTAATGTTAGATTCTTATCCCAAGTCTGCCTTACTTGACTCTAGGTGATTAGAGTTGTAGCTTAGTAGGTGGGCTCTAGAAATGTGATCATTTGGCCAAGGTTGGAAGAGATAGTGGAGCTGCTGTGATTACTTTGTGGTTTATTTCTTCGTTATGATAGCAGATGAGCTGTAAAGATGCTTGTGTATGTAATGTAACACTTTATGATGCAATAGCCAGTTTAAGAAATTAGAGAAATTTTAGATGTTAGTAATATTAAATTTTACTTGGCAGAAATGGTCTCATTTTCAGTGGGATTCTTTTCGGAGAAGCTCCTGTCTTGTCTGTACTTGCATGTGCCCTGAGATAGAACATGAGCGTAGCTGTCTATACCTGCGGTTCTTGTGGCTTTGATTCAGAGGAAGATGCACTGAGGAGCAGCATGTTGTAACAAGTCCCTGATTTCTCTTTCCTGGTACAGTCAAGGCTGTCTGTCAACAGCGTGACTGCTGGAGACTACTCCCGACCCCTCCACATCTCCACCTTCATCAATGAGCTGGATTCCGGCTTCCGCCTTCTCAACCTGAAAAATGACTCCCTGAGGAAGCGCTACGACGGATTGAAATATGACGTGAAGAAAGTAGAGGAGGTGGTCTATGATCTCTCCATCCGGGGCTTCAACAAGGAGACGGCAGCAGCTTGTGTTGAAAAATAGGAGGCTCTCCTTGCTCCTGGCCTTGCTGACCTCAGCGGTTGCCAGGAAGGGGTGAGCACAGAGTGCCTCTTACGGTAGTTAGGATGCCCAGTTGCTAAACACTGCGCTTTATTTTCTTAACCAGTTGTGGTGTGAGTATCAGAATTGAAACACTTTTTTGGGGGTAAAAAATAATAGCCTTTACATGGACAGAATTTTCTTTGTTGTTTCAGTGAATTTGCTCTGTAATTCAGTGTATTTCAGTTCCGTCAAAAAGTGTAAATGTTAGTTTCTTGGTAAAGTCCTTTTCTTGCTTACCTTGACTGTTGATGTACTGATTGAGAAGTTCATTGTCTCGTTTGTGATTCTTCCAGATGTGATGCTTGATATTTTCTATATGCGAGTTAGCCATCCACACCCAGGCATAGCCTGGATACAGTATTAAAATAGATAATTAAAAAGATGGTTGCCAAGCAAGGAAAACTTATTTTATATTTTCCCTTCCTTATTTTAAGCATTGTGAGTAAATCAGATGTTGAATTCTTTTGCCGAGGGAATTATAGCCCCAGGTTCTCTCTCACTGCCATCAAAATATACAAGATTAAACTGCAAAGTCAAGCTCAGCAGATTATTTTGGAAAGTTTTTGTATTAAGGGATTTAGTAACATCATTTGGTTCTCCACCATGCAGGGAGTAGGGCTTAGTGTTTTAAAACACCTCTGCTTTCTCATGTTGCCTTAATATTCTGCTATTGCAGCAATTAAAAATTGTCTTCACGTACATTTGGAACTAACACGTGATATGATATATTCCTAAACTATGAAACCTTTTTTCTAGTAGTCAGCTAGATCATTTGATCTGGGAGTATAAAACCACCCACATAAGTTAATAAGCAAAATCCTGACTATTATGTTGTTAGAGAAAAATGCTTTGCTTTGTCTGGAAGAAAGATAAAATAGTGAATTCTAAATAAATCAGGCGGGGCGTGGTGCCTCACACCTGTAATCCCAGCACACTGGGAGGCCTAGGCAGGGGCATTGCTTGAGCTCAGGAGTTCGAGACCAGCCTGGGCAACGAAGTGAGACTTCATCTCTATACAAAAACAAAAAACACGAAAGCACACACAAAATAAATCAGTGGGATTTGGTAATATGTTTTAGAGTAAGAAATTTCAGGTTGTTGGTGACTGTCAGGTTTTAAATGTACAGTTTGGGGCAAGTCATGTAAATACTGTTGGTGGTCTTCAATTTTCAGGTAGTACTAAGAGTATGTGCCAGGAAACTCTTGCTATCGAATTGAGACGATTAAAATGGTGACTTAATCCATAGTTACTTTGCACTCACTGAAAGGAAAGTGCTTTCCAGAATAATACAAAGTATCTAAAAGTGTCACCTTTTCTGGCCTGATCAACCTGATCAACAATTTGGGCTTCCTGTTTGTATGAGGGGCTATTTGGCATACTCTTCACAGCTTTTATCAGGCCAAGTTAAAGGCTGACTACATTTTTTCATCACGAGAAAAGCAGTTGAAATGAGGCATGAGTTACTGTGCATTGGGATTTTAGAACAATGTTCTTGACAGCTATTTTGTGAAGTTAGGTTCTTAAAAGTGCCCATGATGGTCACTTAAAATGTGCATTAATAGCACTGCCAGGATCAGGCATGAAAGACTTTTAAATTAGATCATCACACATAAGGCAATAAGTTTGATAATAGGTTTTTTTTTTTTTTTAACCTCTTTAAGTATTGATTCTGCTTGAGAATATTGAAGTACTTGCCAGAAGTTGTGGATTTCAGTTTTAACAAATGCAATTTAAGTGGAGAAGCACACTCTGGTCTTGGAATTCCATTTGAGGATTTAGAAGTGTCATGTTTATACTTACTCAGTTGTGTTTGTTGCTGGCTTGTTGTAAAGCAATAAAATTTTTTTGGTCTTTTTGTAAGTGAGTGTGCTGCTGTAAGAAATCTCCCACGTGCATAACAAATTCTGAATATTTTTTGAGGCTAAAGAAGACCGGGGTGACAAGCACATACTGCTGTGTAATGGTTACAATAACCAAAAGACACCAGCCGCTCAGAGTTCTATACTGTAAAGCGCAGATAACATTTGTGTGTTATACCTTGATTGGGGAATTAAAAGTCATTTAACTGAAGATGTTGAGAAACCTGGGCTCTGGTGTTAGTATACCAGAATTACTGTTTTCAATTGTAGAAAATCAAGCAGGTTAGAGAAAATAGAGACGAATTAGGAGACACTGTCTTACGGATTCATTTATAAGAAGATAACCAGCCATATACACGTGGGGATATTTGCCGTGTCTTAAACTTGAATAATAATATGAGCAATGCTTAAGGGAGTTTAATAGAGAAGGAAAGCTTTGGCAGTGTTTTGAGACCTTAAGTGGCTAAAGAGATGAGACAAACATGCAGGTTGCTACTGGCATAGTTTCATAATTGTGTACTCAGAAATTAAAGTTTGCTTGTTTCTTGGTCTGGATTAAACTGTTTGTCCTCCTTTTCAGATAGAGCATCACAGTCAGGGGTGACACCAAAATAAGACTTTCCCTGAGCCTGAATTTGTTTTTTTTTTTAGTATCTACTGTAATAAGCATCAAACAAACAAGCAAAAATAAACAGTGTCCCTTCCCCTGGACAACAACAACAATAACAAACATTTAAAGGCGGTAAAATTTCCAGGACTGGTTGGTTGAATGAGTGGGCTGGGTGTGGGTAGTGGGACGAGACGAGACGGGAAGGGGAGGAATCTAGCATCGCTGCCGGGTTTCTGGCCCAGGTTTGGTGCCATTCACTGAGGTGAGGAGTGTAGGAAGATTGCGTGTCTGGAGCGGGCTGGGCAGCTGATGCATTTGCTTTTGGATGTGTTGGGTTTATGACACTGGAGCAGCCAGGTGGATACATCAAAGGTGGGTAAGATCTCCCTGGAGAGCGTTTACAATGAGAAGAGTCACAAGCTGCGGACAAATTCTTAGTTAATAGCATGGCCTAACGAGGTAGGCAGAGGAAGTGGAGTCCACGAGGAAGTGGAGAAATGGTCAGAGAGGCTAACAGAATGGGAAGAGTGGCTTGTTTCAGAAGCCAGGGAATAAAGGATCTTAGGTTTTTGGGTGAGGGATTTAAAATAATCTACAGCCTGGGAGCTCCATGACTCATCTGTCAGGTTAGGTTAGGTTATCCTGTGGGAACACCACCAGAGCTCACAGGCAAAGAACAAGGTTTATTTCTCACTCGCTTCCCTCTCCATTGCAGCTTAGCTGGAGATCTGTTCCACGTTGTCCTTATGTAGGGTGACAGAGCAGCCACTAACTGGACCATTGCTAGTTTTAGTGGGAGAGGGAAGGAGCTGTGAAGTGTCTTGCAAAAATACATGATCTGGTCACTCTGACAATTATTTTTTTTTTGGAGATAGTCTGGCTCTGTTACCAGGGTTGGAGTGCATTAGTGCAATCTGGGCTCAAGTGATCCTCCCACTTCAGCCTCCCTAGTATTAATAGCTGGGATTACAGGTGCATGCTACCATGCCTGGCTAATTTTTAAAATTTTTTATAGAGACAGGGTTTCACTATCTTGCCCAGGCTGGTCTCAAACTCCTGAGCTCAAGTGATCCTCCCACTTTGGCCTCCCAGTGTGTTGGGATTACAGGCGTGAACCACCACACCCACCCTCAATTCATTGTTTAGAGCTAGACATGTGACCCTGCTAAACCACAAGGGGCTCAGGAAGTGAAATCCTGTCTTGTAGGATGAGAGGATGGATAGACAAATATTGAAGTTTTGGGGGATGTTTGGTTCAATTTGTTAAATGTATAGTAGTAATGTTTCCATATACACATAAAGATCAGTTGGCTTGGGAGGGAGAGAAGATGCCCCAGGACCCCTCTCCTGTTTGACAGAGTTCTCTGGTGTGTGCGCATTTGCGTTGGATTTGTGTTACATTTTAAGCCAATATTCAGTGAGCTCTACATGTTCCATGTGCTGGGCTAAACATTTTGTTTAGTTACCTCATTTTGTCCTTGTAACAACTCTGTGAGGTAGCTACTACTATTTTCCTTATTTTAGACTTGGCTTAGAGAGGGCAGTTAACTGGCTGTGAATTCATAGCTATGAAATGAAAGAGCTGCTATTCAGAACCCAGTTATTCTGCCTCGACATTCTAACAGACCATTTCTTCCTGGATGCTCTTGCATGGCATCCCTTCATAGCCTGACAAGGCAAACATCAAATCCACAAATAGTTAAGAGCACAAAGCATATGTTTAACTTTGGGCTAAGTGTGGTTTGTCTTAAAAATAAGCATGAAAATAAATAGACTTGGTCCTCACCCTCAAGATGTTTAGGTCTAGTTGCAGGGGAGGAGGTGGTGAGAAAAGATATTAAACAGGTAAGAGGTTAAATATTCAACTAATATTTGAGTGCCTACTATGATTTATTTTAACAGCTTTATTGAAATACATTCACACATAAAATTGACCCATATCAAGTATACGAATCAGTGATTTAATTTACCATGTGGTGGAAGCATCACCATAAATCAGTTTTAGAACTTTTTTTAATCTCTCCAAAATATCCCTGCTCCTACTGCCAGCCCTAGGTGACACTAATTTTCATCTCTAAATTTGCCTTTTCTGGATATTTCATAGAAATGGACTCCTACAGTAAATGATCTCTTGTGTCTTTTCACTTAGCATAATGTTGTTAAGGTTCATAACATATGTTAGTTTGTTCCTTTTTATTGCTAAGTAGTATTCCATTGTTTGGATATTCCACCTTTTTTTTTTTTTTTTTTGCTCTGTCACCCAGGCCTGAGTGCAGTGGCACGATCTTGGCTCACTGCAACCTCCGCCTCCCGGGTTCAAGCGATTCTCCTGTGTCAACCTCCCGAATAGCTGGGATTACAGGTGTGTGCCACCACGCCCAGCTAATTTTTGTATTTTTAGTAGAGACAGGGTTTCGCCATCTTGGCCAGGCTGGTTTTGCCGTGTTGGCCAGGCTGGTCTTGAACTCCTGACCTCAGGTGGTCTGCCTTCCTTGGCCTCCTGAAGTTCTGGGATTACAGGCGTGAGTCTGGCGAGATATTCCACATTTTATCTATACATTCATCACATGGTGACACATTTTAAGTTTCCATTTTTTTGGCTATTATGAATAATGCTGCTCTGAACATTGGCATGCAAGTCTGTGTGTGAATGTGAGTTTATTTCTTTTGGATAGGTACCTAGGAATCTGTGGTAAAAATGGTAAGTTTATGTTTAGTTTTTTAAGAAACTGCCAATCTGTTTCCAAAGTGGCTGCACTATTTTAAATTCCCACCAGCAGTATATCAGGGTTGCCTACTAGGAGTTTAAATTCAAGACAATATCAGACAAGATGTCATAGGCACAGTAGTTAATTTCTAAATAACTTGTGAATAATTGCTATAGTTTAGGAGCTGTCGCTTGAACTAGGTCATGAAGGAGGTGAGTTTTTTTGTTTTTTGTTTTTTCTTTTTGAGACAGAGTCTTGCTCTGTTGCCCAGGCTGGAGTGCAGTGGCACAATCTCAGCTCACTGCAACCTCTGCCTCCTGGGTCCAAGCAATTCTCTTGCCTCAGCCACCTGAGTAGCTGGGACTACAGGCGCGTGTCACCACACCAAGCTAAGTTTTGTATTTTTAGTAGAGATGGAGTTTCACCATATTGCCCAGACTGGTCTCGAACTCCTGACCTCAGGTGATCCACCTGCCTTGGCCTCCCAAAGTGCTGGGATTACAGGCGTGAGCCACCACCGAAAGAGGTGAGATTTAGACAAGCATGGAACTAGGAGAAGGTCATTTGGTTGGGTGGAATAATTGACACCAATGTGGAAACGTATCCATTTAATGGGGTTAGGGAGGTCACCCATGTGAGTGGAGGAGGAACTCTGGCAAGGTTGGATTGTTAGATTTAGGAAAGCTTGAATTGAGGGGTTAGGAAGTTTGGACTTCAAATGATAGGCATTGGAGGACTGAAGGGTTTTTTTGAGGAGAGGAGGGAGCAGCTTTGGAGTCAGACAGTCCTAGCTTTGAATCCTGCATCTATCATGTTACCAATGGGGAGAGACCAAAGGCAGGGACACCTGTGAGCAAGCTCTTGCTGTCTTTGAGGTAAGGGTCAGTTTGGGTAGCTGGTGATAGGCATGACTGGGTAAGGGCAGATGGAGTGCACTGCAGAGAGAATTGGCCAAGCTTGCTGACTGATGGAGTTGGGGTAGACAGAGTAGGGGCTGAGAGAAGTGGAAAGCTGCCTGAGCTGAAAGAATATCCATGGGAACAGTGGAGCTAGTTTCTGGGGGAAGAGGGGAAGATGAGAAGTTCAATTTTGCAAGTGTTGAGTTTACTGTGTTAGATGTTGCATGGCTGGCTGTAGTTTTTGGACTAGAATTTTGGGTGCCTGAGGCTGGAGGTGAGGGAGTCCTTTAGATTTAGAGTGGATCTGGGAACTGTGATTGTGATGAAGAGGGAGCCCAGGGACATGATTGAAGACATCAAGAAGATGGGAGGAGCCAGAGGCCTGTGTTCAGGTCTGCCCAAGCAGGAGCTGGGGCCGTTATGTGACAGATGCACCGTGCTTTCTCTCCTACTGCACTAGAAATCCTTTACTTACTACGAAGACTGTAAGGTTTTTGGCTGAAGGAAAATAAACCTATGAAAATATGTAGAATCCCCATAGAAGAAAGTTGGACTTGTTAGAAAAAAAAACGACAAAGGCAGTAACCTATTTAGCCCGACCCTTACATCAGTTACTCATGATCATCTGGTGTCATTTAATATTATTAACATTTACCCACAGCCATCTGCTCTGGCTAGAGTTGTGCGTTCACCCGTTGCAGCTGTGTTTTTCCATGATCGAATGCTGGCCTGGCTGTCTGGACCCACCAGCTGGACCGGCCAACAAGACCAGTTCAGAAGTCGGAAGGATTCCCCTTCCCCTTCCTCTGCCACGTCCCTGCTGTCAGAGCTTCCTTTAATGAACCCTCTGCTCACCCTGACAATGGAAGTGAAGCCGGATAATTTTTCACAGTTGGGAAGTACAAAGGGCAGGATGTTTGCTTTTACTTTCTGGGGAAAGATGGCAAGACTGTTGTAATCATTTAAGGGGTTGTTTTGGAAGCCCGGTTGATGAACTGGGCCCTTCTACTTTGATACACTGTTAGAACCAGCACCAATACAACAAAGACTTTTTTTTTTTTTTTTTAATTTGAGACAGTCTCGCTCTGTTGCCCAGGCTGGAGTGCAGTGGTGCGATCTCGGCTCACTGCAACCTCCGCCTCCCAGGTTCAAGCGATTCTCCTACCTCAGCCTCCCGAGTAGCTGAGATTACAGGCGCCTGCCACCATGCCCAGCTAATTTTTGTATTTATAGTAGAGATGGCATTTCCCCATGTTGGCTAGGCTGGTCTCGAACTCCTGACCTCAGGTGATCCACCCGCCTCAGCCTCCCAAAGTGCTGGGAGGACAGGTGTGAGCCACCACGCCCAGCCACAGCAAAGACTCATCATCAGTCAGTGTTAGTGTTTGGATTTTATTTCTTTGCATCTAGATGTTAACCCTCAAATCTCCAAGACAAAGAACAAAGGATCAGCAGGGATGGATCCGGTTTTTCTTTCTTCAGCTGTTCCCAGGAGAATTTGGCCATCAGTCTTCCTGGGATCAACCCCAGAGGTGGTGGGCATGAGTGGGTTAACGACAGGAGTCCTGCCCAGGGGACTTGGGAAGCCTGTCTTATGTTCTGTCCCACCCCCTGAAAGAACAAGGATGTGACTTTATATTGTTTTATGAAACCAGCAAAATGGGTGCCCGGGTTCTTGGGCTGTGGGCTGCCTGTATCATCAAGCAGCTGTAACCTTTCCTTAAACCGAAAACAGAAAGAGGAATATTTCCCCAACTACCTTCACTGAGGAAAAAGGAAGTGGGGTTGGCACAAGCATTTGTGAGCTGACTCCAGAAGGAGAAGGAAAACCTTGGCTTTAATCTTTCTTTTAAAAAATACACATTGGAAGGAGGGGAGGGGATATAGTTGGTACTGCCTAGTGTTCTGTCACAGGTATGGTGGGAGTTGCGGGGAATATCTAAATGTCTGTATCATTGCTTCATGATACATTTTGTATGTTTTCCTCCTTTTTGACTCTTGCTACTTTTATTAGAAATAAGAAATCATCATAGAAAATTGGGAAATTGGCTAGGCATGGTGGCTTATGCCTGTAATCCCAGCACTTTGGGAGGCTGAGTCAGGTGGATTACTTGAGCTCAGGACTTTGAGACCAGCCTGGCCAACATGGTGAAACCCCATCTCTACTAAAAATACAAAAATTAACCGGGCGTAGTAGTGCGCAGCTGTAGTCCCAGCTGCTAGGGGGACTGAGGCTGGAGGATTGCTTGAGCCCAGGAAGTCGAGGCTGCAGTGCCTGGGTGACACAGTGAGAACCCTGTTTAAAAAAAAAAAAAAAAAAATTGGGAAATTGCCAAAAAATTATAAAGATGTGGATAGATTTTTTGTATTGTGATTTATTGTAAATATACTACTGAGTTTTAAAAGACTTTCTGAGGCCGGGTGCGGTGGCTCAAGCCTGTAATCCCAGCACTTTGGGAGGCCGAGACGGGCAGATCACGAGGTCAGGAGATCCAGACCATCCTGGTGAACACGGTAAAACCCCGTCTCTACTAAAAAATACAAAAAACTAGCCGGGCGCGGTGGTGGCCGCCTGTAGTCCCAGCTACTCGGGAGGCTGAGGCAGGAGAATGGTGAGAACCCTGGAGGTGGAGCTTGCAGTGAGCTGAGATCCGGCCACTGCACTCCAGCCTGGGCGACAGAGCGAGACTTCATCTCAAAAAAAAAAAAAAAAAAGAAAAAAAGAAAAAGACTTTCTGAGATACCTGTGAATTCTACTATGACCTTTTGATTTGATACTGTTGTTTAGCTAATGGCTTATGTGAACGATCCCTTCTCTCTGCTGAACTCCTTCGCCGAAGTGCAGAGGGTTCGGTTGGTCTCCAGTTCTCTGCAAGCCCCGTGATGTGTGGGTTCTGCAGTCAAGCTGCCTCTGTCCCTTAGCAGCACGTTTTTCATTGCCCCTTTTGTACAAAGCTGTGATAAAATAAAAACTTCAGCCAAATTAAATTTAAAAGAGTTTAATTGAGCAACCAACAGTTTGAAATCGGGCAGCCTCCTGAGCCAGAGTATGCTCAGTGACTAGCGTAGCCACATGGTGGAAGATGTATGGACAGAAAAAGAAAAGTGGGCTGGGCGCGGTGGCTCATGACTGTAATCCCAGCACTGTGGGAGACCAAGGCGGGTGGATCACCTGAGGTCAGGAGTTCGAGACCAGCCTGGCCAACATGGTGAAACCCCGTCTCTACTAAAAAATACAAAAGTCAGGTGACAGGCGCCCGTAATCCCAGCTACTTGGGAGGTTGAGGCAGGAGAATTGCTTGAACCCGGGAGGCGGAGGTTGCAGTGAGCCAAGATCACGCCACTGCACTCCAGCCTGGGTGACAGAGCGAGAATTTGTCCCGGAAAAACAAACAAAAAAACCCAAAAAACTATGTGGCTGGGCACGGTGGCTCACGCCTGTAATCCCAGCACTTAGGGAGGCTGAGGCAGGTGGATCGCCTGAGGTCAGGAGTTCATGACCAGCCTGGCCAACATGGTGAAACCCTGTCTCTACTAAAAATACAAAAATTATCTGGGCGTGGTGGCAGGTGCCTGTAATCCCAGCTGCTCAGGAGGCTGAGGTGAGAGAATTACTTGAACCCGGGAGGCGGAGGTTGCAGTGAGCCGAGATCACACCACTGCACTCCAGCCTGAGCAACAGAGTGAGACACCATCTCAAAAAAAAAAAAAACAGAAAAAAACCAGAACCCGGGAGGCAGAGGGCAGAGGTTACAGTGAGCTGAGATCGTGCCATTGCACTCCAGTGTGAGCAACAAGAGCGAAATTCCATCTCCAAGAAAAAAAAGAAAGAGAAAAAAAAAGTAAAAGGAAAGTGATGGACAGAAAACAAAAATGAAGTACAGAAACAGCCTGGTTGGTTACAACTGGATGTTTGCCTCATTTGAACCAAGGTTCAAACGGATGGCTACATTTGATTGGCCAAAACTCGGTGATTGGCATAAGTGTAGGCTATGGTCTGTTTACACCTCCACTTGTTGTAGGTCACGCTGTACAGAGAAACCTTTAGGCTGAACTTAAAATATGTAAAGGAGGCAGCTTTAGGTAAACTTGATTTAACAGCTGATATTATTGAACAAAACATATCACTGTTGGATATTCCTATGAAACTAGACGATGTCGTATGCCATTTTCTGCTTTGTGAAAGCATTTTTACATTCATCACATCATCTGACTTTTGAAGCTGTCCTGTGACCCATCCTGTGACCCATTCTGTGTGACTCCTGGGGTTGACAGCTTGAGTCTTAGACAGTCGGAGGAGGAGGCACTGCTTTTCTTCCTCAGCCAGCCCGTCCTCTCCCTGCTATCACCTACTTACATGCTTGTTGGCTTGTACTTTAGCTTGAATTCTGGTCACCACTTGACAGTGTCAAGGGTTCAAAACTGATCTTGTGCTGCTGTGGAAAACACTTTTAAAAAGTTAATTTTTTTTTTTTTTTTTTTGAGACAGAATCTCACTCTGTCGCCCAGGCTGGAGTGCAGTGGCGCGATCTCGGCTCGCTGCAAGCTCTGCCTCCTGGATTCATGCCATTGTCCTGCCTCAGCCTCCAGAGTAGCTGGGGCTACAGGTGCCCACCACCACGCCCGGCTACTTTTTTTGTATTTTTAGTAGAGACGGGGTTTCACCATGTTGGCCAGGCTGGTCTCGATCTCCTGACCTCATAATCTGCCCGCCTCAGCCTCCCAAAGTACTGGGATTACAGGCGTGAGCCACTGCGCCCGGCCAAAAGTTAATTTTTAATTTCTAATTTTTAAAAATTAGAGATGAATTCTCACTATGTTGCTCAGGCTGGTCTCAAACTCCTGGCCTCAAGTGATCCTCCCACCTTGACCTCCCAAAGTGCTGGGATTACAGGTGTGAGCCATCACACCAGGCCCCTCAAAGTGTTAAACAGAGTTACCCATGTCCTCGCCATCCCACTCAGGATATACTTGAGAGAACTGAAAAACCTACATCCACAGAAGAACAAGAATGTTGGTAACAGCATCATTCACAATAGCCAGAGAGTGGAAACGATCTAAATGTCCATCAACGAATGAATGGATAAACAAAATGTGGTGTTTCCTTACAATGAAATATTATTTGGCAATAACAAAAATGAAATATGCATGCTACAACAAAGATGACCCTCGAAAACATTATGCTAAGTGAAAAAAGCCAACCACAAAAGACCATATCCTCTTCTATAATCCTGCAATTATCGTGGGTTGCTGGCTCAGCACGAAGAAGAATGGGAAGGGACTATGGCGGAGACTCTAGGTAGGAGCTGAAGGACTCTGTGCCCTTAGAAAAGATGGACACATTTCTGTGTCTAGATTGGCGGTTGACTTGGTGCATTGGGAAGGGAGTCACTTGCATGTATCCGGGAGAGACTTGGAGAGAGAAATCAGGGTGGGGCTTGATATGCGGCTTTTGGCTTATATTGGGCCACATAACTTGGAGTTGTCTTTACTCCCATTGACTGGGGAACTGATGGAGAAAGTCCAAGAAATTCTACAGTTGAAAGATTATCCGTGTCTTTGACACACTGCTTCCTGAGAATATCCTGCGGGTTGGGCATCTGGTAACTCCTCAGGATTAGCTACAGCCTTTAGTTGCAAGAATTTTCAACCATAAAAAAGAAATTTATTGGAAAGATGAGCAGCTTGCAGAAGTTATACAAAAGCTTATGGACTGCATCTTAAGAAAAACTGTGATTAAACATACTTAAGATTTACCATTTCAACCATTTTTAAGTGAGCAATTCTGTGGCATTGATACATTCACATTGTTATACAACCTTCACCGCTATCCATCTTCAGAACTTTTTCATCTTTTCAAACTGAAATTCTCTTCCTTCCTTCCTTCCTTCCTTCCTCCCTTTTTGACGGAGTCTCGCTCTGTTGCCCAAACTGGAGTGCAGTGGCATGATCTTGGCTCACTGCAACCTCTGCCTCCCGGGTTCAAGCGAGTCTCCTGCCTCAGCCTCCCAAGTAGCTGGGATTACAGGGGTGCATCACCATGCCTGGCTAATTTTTTGTATTTTTAGTAGAGATGGGGTTTCGCCATGTTGGCCAGGCTGGTCTTGAACTCCTGACCTCAGGTGATCCATCCACCTCGGCTTCCCAAAGTGCTGGGATTACAGGCGTGAGCCACTGTGCCTGGCCTTCCACCTGGAATTCTGTACCCGTTAAATAATAACTCCCTTTTACCCCTTCTCCTAGACCTAGCAACCTTCATTGTACTTTCCGTCTCTATGAATTAGACAGTTCTGGCTACTGCATGTCAGTAGAACCACACAGTATTTATCCTCTTGTGACTGGACTGGCTTATTTCATTAGCATAATGGCTTCCAGGCTTAGCCATATTGTAACATGCGTCAGAATGTTCTTCCTCTTCAGAGCCGAGTAATATTTCATTGTGTGTGTAGACTTCACGTTGTTTGTCTGTTACCCGCTGGTGAGCACTTGGGTTGCTCTGCCTTGGATTGCTCTGCCTTTTGGCTATGGCGAATCAGATTGCACTTTGAAGACAACGTGTAGTAGGTATGATTTTTACGGGCCATGAACTTAGGTATGCAAAAAAATAAATTTCTCTATAACAGAACCTAACTTCTGTCTTGAACATGTCTTCTCTCTTATAGTATAAACAACTCCAATGTATTTTTCGTCGGTGACATAAGGGTGTCCTCAGTGATTTTGGATGAGAATTCAGTTCAGGATTGTTTTTTCTTCTGACCGCATCCCTTTGATGGATCTCAGTTCTGTGCCATGGTAGTGTGTGTGTGTGTGAGAGAATGTGTGTGAGAGAGTATGTGTGTGAGACGGAATGTGTGTGTGTCAGTGTATGAGAGTGTGTGTGTGAGAGAATGTGTGTGTGTGAGAGAGTGAATGTGTGTGTATGAGTGTGTGAGAGAGGGAGAGTGTGTGTGTGAGAGAATGTGTGTGTATGAGTGTGTGAGAGAGGGAGAGTGTGTGTGTGAGAGAATGTGTGTGTGTGAGTGAATGTGTGTGTGTGTGAGAGAGGGAGAGTGTGTGTGTGAGAGAATGTGTGTGTGTGTGAGAGAGGGAGTGTGTGAGAGTGTGTGTGTGTGAGAGGGAGAGTGTGTGTGTGAGAGAATGTGTGTGTGTGTGAAAGAGGGAGAGTGTGTGTGTGAGTGAATGTGTGTGTGTGTGAGAGAGGGAGAGTGTGTGTGTGAGAGTGTGTGTGTGTGAGAGAGGGAGTGTGTGAGAGAATGTGTGTGTGTGAGTGAATGTGTGTGTGTGTGAGAGAGGGAGAGTGTGTGTGTGAGAGTGTGTGTGTGTGAGAGAGGGAGAGTGTGTGTGTGAGAGAATGTGTGTGTGTGAGTGAATGTGTGTGTGTGAGAGGGAGAGTATGTGTGTGAGAGAATGTGTGTGTGTGTGAGAGAGGGAGAGTGTGTGTGAGTGAATATGTGTGTGTGTGAGAGAATGTGTGTGTGTGTGAGAGAGGGAGAGTGTGTGTGAGAGTGTGTGTGTGTGAGAGAGGGAGAGTGTGTGTGTGAGAGAATGTGTGTGTGTGAGTGAATGTGTGTGTGTGTGAGAGAGGGAGAGTGTGTGTGAGAGAATGTGTGTGAGAATGTGTGTGTGTGAGTGAATGTGTGTGTGTGAGAGGGAGAGTATGTGTGTGAGAGAATGTGTGTGTGTGTGAGAGAGGGAGAGTGTGTGTGAGTGAATATGTGTGTGTGTGAGAGAATGTGTGTGTGTGTGAGAGAGGGAGAGTGTGTGTGTGAGAGTGTGTGAGAGAGGGATAGTGTGTGAGAGACTGTGTGTGTGTGTGTGAGGGAGAGAGGGAGTGTGTGTGTGAGAGTGTGTGTGAGAATGTGTGTGTGTGAGAATGTGTGTGAGAGTGTGTGTGTGAATGTGTGTGAGAGAATGTGTGTGTGAGAGTGTGAGAGAGGGAGAGTGTGTGAGAGTGTGAGAATGTGTATGAGTGTGTGTAGAGAGGGAGT